TAAACTGTAAAATCTCAATAAAAAATTAATTGTTAAGAAAATTCATATAATAATAACAATATGATTATCTTTAATAATTCTCATAGATCTTTATTATTGATGATCGATTTGAAAACAACGAAAAATTTGAATTCTTATGAAAATATTGAACTAAAATTTTTTTTTTCTAATTGATTGCATTAAAATTATGAATTTATAAAATATTTAATAAAACTACGACTTGGATTTTGATTATTCATTAAAAGAAAAAAAAAGAAGTTTATGTGAGATAACTTCGAGGTCAACTATTCAAAGATCTAGTGATTCTTGGTGCAAGAAAAAATATAAATTCGGGATAATCGAATTTCTATTGATTCTGAAGGCAGTATTGAGAATTGGAATTGACCGATTTTTTATGCATGCTCTCAAAGTAGACCTATTTAGTAGAGGAATCGAAGTCGAACCAAATAGTTCTATCTGGTTCCGATCCGATCCGATTCTACGGATTCTCAAAAAAAAAAGTCCTCCCTACGAAAGAGTAACAAGTTATAGTCCCACACTTCTGGAAAAGTAATGAATGATTTAGCTATGTTTGACAACTATTATTTGGGATAGTGATTTTTATGAGAATATGTAGTTAAAAAATATGAAAAAAATTTGGATTTACGTACAAAATATTTTATTTTGTGATGTGTAGTTGAAAATAAATATGTAAAAAAAAACGTGAAAATAATAATTGTCAAAAATGGACAATATGCTTAAACGATTCTAAATAATATAACACATCTTAAATCAAGGGATATGGCAAGATATGAACACAAGAAAAACACAATAGCATGATTGGGATACAAAATTTACTTTCTTACAAATTAGGTAGATCATATTGTGTGATCCAAGTCTGTCCACACGTAGGTCCTACAATTTATCAAATAACTAGAAAATTTCTAACTTGTTTCTCTTGTAAGTTGTCGAATGTTTTAGTTCGTACTATTTGTGGGTCACCAACTTATTGTTAGCCCAACAATAACTAATCAAGAGGGGAGTGAATTGGTTATTAAAACTTTTTCGTTAATCACTCAAGAGTTTAATAAGTGAGCACGCAAATGATAGAGAAT